AGACTGCTATAGAAAACAAGGACTTTTCTTTCTTTTTCCCCGTAACATATACATTCATATAAAAAATTAAAGAATAATAAAAAAAAAACCAAAAGGAAAACTGTGCTAACTGAGGATCAAAAGGATGCGCTATTCAAATGACTAGGAGTGTATGTATAGAATCCAATTGACTGTCTATATATGTAGTTTACGGTAATTTATTTGTGCGCGAGATATTTGAATGTTCAATGCCGTCTATTTGGAGGTAGCGTATGTACAGTAGTGAGAAAAATTGTTATGATGTGCGGTACGTAAAGCTACTTAAAGTTGTATTGAAACGTGTGAATAGATTTTAATTTCATTCAAATTTGTTTTTGTTGTATTTGAATATTATTATTTGAGCAAAAGCAAGTTGCTCTGAAATTTTATGACTAGCTAAAGTTTATGTGCTAATATTTGTCAATACTGTAGACTTGTAAGTGCGACGAAGTGCTTATTTTATTTTTACATCCATATGTCCATGCGTATGTAAATACTTTTAATATCTCAGTCTGAGCTGTTATTTGAGAGTAGCTTACGTATTTGTAGGTATATATACATACATACATACATCTTATACATTGAGCATGTATACATATGTATGTATGTATGCACATACTTATATTTGTATTATTGTAAAAAGTCGAATATGAATGATAAGTAATCGGTCACGTTCGATTGCCCGCAGTAATTACACAGGCACAATAGCAAAACGTTGACTTACATAAAATTAAGTCGCCCTACTACCCATCTGACCATAAGTATTAGAAAAAAAGAAGCCATTTAGGAGCCCATATTTTAGATCGCTTAAGCGATTTTGGTCTAGTTCCATAAAGTACGCCAGTTTTTTCTCTTCTCTAACAAACTGACGCTAATTGGAAATGCCAAGTGAACCCAAGGGAACAATTATATGACACAGTTCAAATTTAATGTAACGAGGATGAGATTTTTGATGCTGTTTTTTCAACTTTTTTCATAGATTGGTATAAGAGAAACTTGAATAATTGGACCAAAATTATTCCGATTTGTACTTATGAGATATCATTGGAATTAAAGGTATTCTCTCACTCTTTTTATTTCTTTGCAAATAAACTCATTCAAAGTATGAAAGAGAAAGGTAGGATGAACGAGCGTCATTCCAAGTTGAATTAGGATGTTTCGGTGTTTGAAAAAAAAATGGGACGTGAATGAGTTTTTTTTTTACGGCGGAAAACCCGCAACTCTTTTTGGTGATGCAGTCTAATGTACATATGTACATACATATGTATGTAAATATTTATACATGCAATAACAAACTTACCAATCTGGTTGTATTAGATAATTGCGATCATCATATGATATTAATTCTTTAATTTCATTTATTGTGATGCCATAAAGTCGTCGCACTAACGATTCCACATCCTCTGATGTTACTTTCGGCTTAATATTTGATCCTGGTTTTAGTATATTATTTTGATTCGCATTACTAGAGGTCTCATCGCCATTGGCGTTGTTATTGGTAGTCGCTGGCGCTTCACTATTATTATTCGCAACAATACATTTATTAGCTAAATCATATTCATGATTCAATGTATAGGATTTTTTCCTTAAACTGGTCAATTCCACATTATTCCACTGTTCCATGATTTGACCGCACTGGTTTTTTCCTCGTCTCGTAATAACTAATTGATATTTTTACGTTAACCCTTCGAATTAAACAAAAACAAAAATATCGTAAAATAACCAAATGATTTCGAAAATGTGGTTGACGCTTGCCGTTAAGCACTTAACTACTCACCGGCACAAATGCGAATGCTACCCACACAAGCTTCAAACGGTATGCCGTAAAGAATGCCGTTGCTCTTCACCCGGCTGAAACGCAGCAGTTGCTGCTGTTTGCTTATTGTTTGAAAAAAGAAAAAGTATTGTTGTTTTTGCTTTTTTATTAATTTTTATTTCGTGCACTTCATTTGCTGAACTCTTTATTGTTAAAGTTGTTTATCTTTAATTCATTTCAACTCTCAGCGCGACGTCTCAACTGAAGCTGTTTTGCTCTACATAGGCTGTCTAGATGGGACCATGTTCGCCTTATTTGTACGGTCGAGCTGTAGAGAAGAATGCAAAGTAAATGATATAAATGTTATTAGCGCTACTTTAAGATATTCATCATCGTCATGTGTTCATGCACACACTGGCACACAAGTTATGTCGTTTAAAATACAAAACCGCGTATCGTTATTCTACAAAACCGCGTAACTGACATTTGCTGCCAAAAATTGGATTTGCTCACACAAGCTCTTGGCTCAATCCTTACCCATTCGCCCTGAAATATACTAACCAGAAATGAGATTGCTTTATAAAAATGAGAACCATTTTGAAATATGAGTGTTTTTACTCTCTAGAAAATAATTTATGCAACCCCACATACGAGGTTTTGCTTTTTGTTTATACGCGGTTTTGTACTTTAAACGACGATATGTATTTATTTAAGTCACAATCTCTTTCTGAGTTATGATTTTTTTTTATGACATTTCGTAGATGTATACTACATACATATAAGCATGTACATACGTATATATGTAGATACGATATGATAAAGCTGGAACGTCCCTCGTCTTTAGTAAATTGATTGCGTTAAAAAAAAAAGTAGAGACTTAAAGAATAATGGATCATTTTTGAATTCTCGAGTAAATAGAAATTTAAGTAAATTTTACTGAAAAGACGCTAAATAATAATAGACAAGTGCTAAATTGGTATTCGAGCACCTTCCATGAACTAAGCATTCATACATACATACATGCATTTCGTAAATACATACATATATTTACATTATGATGCATATAGCATGTATGTACATATGTATGTATGCTCACTGATAGCTAGCTACGATTATCTTTTAAATCGCCTTATTTTATAAACACGCAATTCAAAGTTTATGAACATATAATCAAATTATATTGTTAAGTTTAATTCTAAAATTTTATTAAATTCGTTAGGAGTAAAATATAATAAATCTCGTTGAATGGCGCTTGCAATACCTACATATGTATATTTCTCGATGACATTACAGCGCACCTTAAATGTACATATCGTCGGTGATACTGCAAAACGGTCTATCCTCTCTGGTGCTTAATTGAGGCTGTAACGATTTGCAGATGCATTCCGGTGCAAGTAGGATACCATATAGTGTAGACATAGACCGTTTTGCAGTATCACCGACGATATGTATGTATGTACGTTAGTGGTAAACTTGAAAACTTTTCAGAAAGCTGGAGGAATAATAGTCTAGATAAGATACAAATCCATGGTCGTGGCATATCGGCTGGTCATAAGGATCAACCTATACTGGAATGTAAAGAAACGTAAATCAATATATGTACATATAACACTATCTAATGTCAATAGAAAATTACACATTCTTGAAGAAAACGACTGCAAATTATAGTCTATTCCCTCATTTTTCACTTTAATATTTAACAAATGATTTAATTAAAGTTGCATAAATACACATTCCGGCAGGTTCTGCAATTCATTTGAGTCAACTTCGGTTTGAATTTAAATTGGAAGGGATTGAAATTCACTCGGAAGTAAATTGCAGAACCTGCCCGATTATTATCTAGAATTCGTCCCACGGCAGTCGGGTCTACGTAATCGGAATGCGGTCACTCCTGCATTATTTCACAAAAGATATTTGGTTAGTTTTTATACATACCTGTAAAGAAATAAAAAGCCTAGATATGGATTTTCTTTATTAAGGCAACGGATATGTATGCTGCTACTCTATGTACATACATATTCATACATAATTAAGAATATCTCTCTGTACTATTTTTATGACTGTCGCAAATACGTACAAGAAGAGAAAAAAATTACATTTAATAGTAGAACCAATTGAAAAAGTTTTCCACATGCATTTAATCTTCACAATTTAGAAAAAATGCTTTAATCTTATCACAAATGTGTAAATATATGAGTAGCCATAGTAATAATATTTTGGCGCTTACACTTCTACCAAGGTACATTGAACAGGTAGTATCAGTAGAGCAGCTGATTTGATTTATTTTCAAATTATTTGGTCTCGAAAATGTCAAATATTTTTAATTTTTTCTCACAAAAATTCTGAATTGTTAAAATCCATTTGCATGTGAAACCTTTTTCCATACAAAACAAGCGATTGAATAGCAGCTTTTGGAACGTTCGCCCAACTCGGCAGCACGACCGCTGATTACTGGGCCTTGCAAAGGATGGATCAATGCTTCGAGAAGCAAACAAATTTACTAGGAAAGAAAGTTGCATCAATTTTTATTTTTTCCAATTTCAATTTTTTATTTTTTATAATTTTTTGTATTTCACATGGCACGCTTTGATTTAGAAGAAAAAATTCAGAACAGTTTTTGACACTTTCGATACCAGAAGCAACAACAAAATACACGCAAATGTTGTTTTTGCTCTACTGATAGTACCTGTTTAATGTGCCTTGACTTCTACTAAGTGTTTGGCATAGCTTCTACTTCAATTTGTGGTATAAAGTATTGATGTTATTATAGAAATGGAGGGACCTACAATTTCACGCCGCCTCCGAACGGCAAATGGATTTTATGAGAAGTCTTTTCATGTCAGAAATACACTCGGAGGTTTGCCATTGCCAGCTGAAGAGCGACCGCTGTTAGAAAAAACCTTTTCTAACTTACATAGATGTTGCTCGGCCAGAGATCGGATCGAACCAGGGCCTAATGGAGTGGTATTACACATCTCTAAACACTCAGTCATTATTTTTCGTATAATCAGTGACTTACTACACATTTTCGCACTTGTGCAAATGTTTAGAAAGTGCAAAGTTGTAATTAGAGAGATCAAGTGAAATACTAATAGTAGGTAATAGTTAAATTTGACTTTTTAATTGGGATGAAAATGATGACAACGTGGGGGTGACAACAAATGGCTTATATGTATGTATGTATGTACATATCGTCCCCCTTTTGCCAGAAGCATGAATGTGCAAATTTACCAATACTGAGTTATTGGGTTGACTGGATTAACCCTTGGATGTTCATTATTATACCAAAACCCGGAATACCATGCATACACGGAGACCACATACATATCTTACAATGTCAATTACATGAGTGTACCCAATTAACATTGGGCTTGGTTAACATTTCGAAAATGATTGGAAAACCAATATTTTTTTCGAGTCTCACCTTCGATAACGTATGTGGAATAGGTTATTATTTGGTTCGAGAACAAGGTCTTTCTCCAGTAAAACGGAACCTTCGTTATCCAAAGTATTTTCCCTTTATTATGAAATCGAAATTCAGCCCATTGTCGAATTGAAATTTAAATGAGAGGGTGATTGTTTTATATTTACCTTCGAAAATGAGCTACTGGTTCTATTTTTTTTTTTACGAACTCATGTCGGGTGTATTTCCAATATACTATGAACGTTGGAAAACTAAGGTTGGTTATAAGTTCGATATGTATATCGGGTATCGAAGGTCATTTTCGAAAGTTTGCCAAAATGTTTATCGGGTAGAGTTAAGTCTCGCAAGAAAACTTTCAATCTTGATTTCCGATATGTATGACTTGATGGCGATACGTACATAATATGTACTACTCGCATTGCATTTTTAAGACCTCAAACTATTTTTCTGGTTAATAATACCTTTCTCTCAGTCGTGGCATGCATACATACGTATGTATATATTAACAAATCAAATCCTTGCAAAAATATAGAAACCCATACAAAGCTAATTCTATTTAGTATCAAGAATCAAATAGTAACCAGATTTGAATTACAGCGGTGGGTCCTTATCGCTGAAGGGGTTAACAAAAAATCGACTTTTCACTTTCTAGGTATTGGCATAGGTTATTCGTATTTGGATGAGAGTGGCACCGGACAAGGATACGTTTTCCAACTTCGTTGTATTCTATCTTCTTTGCTCGAAGTTTAACCCAGTAATAATAGTAAGAAAGGAAGAAATTCGTTCTTAAAATAAGATACAAAGCAGACTTTTATGAAAATAACATGAAGCGGAATATAGAAAAGTTTGGAATACTTACAACATTCAAATTCGCTTGAAACTGCATTTTATAATTTACCATTATTGCCCACCCTTTTTCAAGAGTGTAACTAACGGATAGATTTTGAAAGATACATGGTTGACGAAAAAAATATTACCTCCATTAAACCTTCCCTTAAAGCATGCAGTCCTTGCTCCGAAATTCAAAATCTAGCCTACCTTGATAGGGTAGACTGATGAAACCTGGGAGGTTAGTCCGTAATGCGATGCGAAAACAAATGATTCGGGGGTTACTGCCTATTGCATCGCATTTCTCTGTCGTATAGAATTACAGGGTAGCCCCCTAGATTAAAATTTTAATGGCAAAATAATGCTGAATCCTTGCATGGACCATACAGTTTATTGCTTCCAATGAAACATGTTTCTCCTAAAATGTGGAATAGTGTGCCGAGATGACGATCTTTGGTCCGTTTTCACCAGTTCTATATTGTGAAGGAGAACTGAACATTTTCAAATCGACGATGTGTTTGGTCATAAATATTAACATTAGTTATTTACATGGTCATACGTACCTTCTGCTCCGAATATCTATAATCACCAACCTTTTGTACGGTTTATATAACTAATACGCAGATTGGTGATAATTTATCGATTTATGCAAATAAAATTTTGTTTGATGGTACTACGCATAATATTTAAATGCACTTTTCTATGCACATATAAAGTTCTACTTTTCCATGTTTACTAAACAAATAATTCCGTTGTTGTAATTTGTAAATTACAGGGGAAGGAACCAGCTGATTTGATAAATGCGAAAGCTCTGGGCAAAAGCTCTAAATTGGGTGCCAGTTTTGTAAAACGCGAAAAAAATATACAACAAAAGTATTTACAATTTTAAATTTGCAACGAAAGTGTTTATAGATTTAAGGTTTCGTATTAAATAACAAATATGTTAATATTGAAGAAAAGCGCAAAGCTTCATTTTTTCTTTGTTAAAAAAAAAAAATTGTTTCCAAGTGCAACCCTTCAATTGCATTCCGTTCACGGTGCACATATGACATTTGTATGTAAACATAACCAAAGAAAGTTTGTTGACGAATTTCCTGAATTAAAATTCTTTGCGAATCTCCTTACAATGGATCAATTGTATATTGAAATAGAGATAAACACACGCAATGATAATACAGAAATCTACAGCAGTATTCAGTCATTCATGGCATTATATATGTACAAATATCTACAATCACCTTCAAACATTAAATTAAATTTCGTACGCACCACTATCCAGGGGGGCAAACTGCGCCTCCGTTCAGAATCGTTGAGACGTGAGCTAACCGAGGAAAAGATACATTGCAAAGAGGCGACAAGCGTTGAGGCTATAAGCGACCTTAAATTACCTATTTATGCAAAAGATGAAAATACCTTCATAGCAGGCATGTGTGCTGTTTGCAGGGAACTGGTTTCACGACAGGAATGTCCAGAGCGCCGTAAATTACTGGGCTTCAAAGGTGCCTGCTTGTTAGCCCCAGCGGAGGCATCCATTTGGACACGGTTTTGCGAAGTAGATGTCGTCGATGCAATCAGCCGGTTGTTGTGTACATTGGAATCCGGCGACGCCTTGGATGAGATACCAAAGGTAGTACCACGTTTTGAACGACACATGAACGAACCAGTGCGCATGCATAACATATACAAAACTGCACGTGAACAAGCGCAGCAACAAAACAAGGTAGCAGGCGACAAAAAAAAGGGAAAAGTTATATTCGATTGTAGCATACCTAAGGAGCAATTGCCTATTGAGCACCGTTTTGCAGAAGGAATCGCCTTTACTATAGCCGATATATTGTTATACACATTCATGCGTTTAATATTTAGGAATTGTGATGATATGTTGGTGCATTTTCCACTTATCAATACGTGGCTGAGTGAGGTAAGTTGACCAATAACTTGTGCACCGATTACGTATGGCGACCGAACTTCAGTTGCTGAAAATTTATTAAAGATGGCAACTGAGTTCCTATATTGGCAACTGCATTTTTGTGGTTTCCGCAAAACTTTTTATTGCGATTAATTTCACTCAAATGTACCTTAAAATTCACTTAATTGCCTAGCGGTAACCCAACTCCGGTTGCGTTGCTATCCGTAATCGACCCATTAATAAAATCTTAACTTTAAAGTATCATTTTACCGTGTCATATACAGATTGACACTTTTGATCGCACCTGTGGACAAATATTAAATGAATTGTACCTGCATCAATCAGCTAATCAATCAATTCCGTTACTTAAAATTCCCGATTGCGAAGCTGCCAGTCTATACAAGAGCGATCCTAAGCGATATAAGCCGCGCAATCGAATTTTTACCGATCAAAGTGAAGTCGATGCAGCTCTGAATAAATTAGAAATGTTGCAACTGAAGTTTAACAGTGAGTCGGCAACGACATTTGAGGAGAAACATATTGATTGGGATGCTCTAGAACCAGAACATGAAAAGAGTTCGGCGTTACCCCGAGAACGTATTATACGGAAACGCCAACAACTACAAAATGTTGCTAACGCGGTCATATCATTAACAAACCCAAACGAGAGAATCGTTGATTTCTGCAGTGGGACAGGTCATTTGGGCATATTGCTGGCATTGCAATTACCTAAGTGCACCATAATATTGATGGAAAATAAAGCAATTTCCTTAGAACGCGCGAAGCAGCGTGCCACTGAGTTGGGACTGAAAAACTGCAGATTCTATCAGTGTAATATTGATTACTTCGAGGGTAATTTTGATGTCGGCACCTCGTTGCATGCGTGCGGCACGGCCACTGACATTGTGCTTCAACAGTGTCGGCGCTCGCACGCAAAGTTTGCTTGTTGTCCTTGCTGCTACGGATCGCTACAACCAATGCCACACATTCCATATCCCTTGAGTGACCGCTTTCGCGGAGTGTTGACTGAAAGAGATTATTTGTTTATAGCACATACCGCTGACCAAGCACATGAACTGGGTACCTTAAACTGCCGCCCAGAAACTACACGACAAGGGCAGCTATGTATGGATATTGTTGATACTGACCGCAAGCTGCAAGCGGAAGAAGTTGGTTATGAAGTTCTATTGACGCGCCTAAAACCAGAACAATGTACACCTAAAAATCGTTTATTGGTCGGACGTATTCCAAGTGCTAGCTGACATGTGTGCACATAAAATTTGTTTGCATGATTTAAGGCATGCCTGCCTCTTATATTGTTTTTTTTTAGAAATTAAATGGTGCAAATTTTAATAAAAAAATTGTTATTCTTTTATTTCTTCAAACAGTGCAAACACCATTTCATTGAGATTGTATCGAAACTCGATTTGTGTTGCGCACCCACTCAATAAATCGTGTTTTAGCCCCACAACATTTTTGCTTTTCATTTATATAAATTGTTTTTATTTTTTCTATGCCTTAAATAAGAATAGTCCACCTCGCAACGCCAGCACCAAATGGAGTACGGAGCCACCTTGAACTTTGTAATCGGCGGCGGTTTTGTCGTCATTCCTGGAAGAGAAAAGCACATTTACTGCGGCGTAGAATCCATTTGAATAAAAAAATATATCAACTAAATACATCTGCCCAAAAGATAATTTAGGTAGGCCTTCTTAAGTAAAGTGCTTCCTTGCATGCCTTCTAGAAGGGCCTTATCCATTTACAATTTACGCGAATGCATAAATTTATATTGTTTAGCATTACAAATGAATTTAAATAGACATTATAAGTGGCAATAACACATATTTCAAACAAACCGTAAGCAAATACTTCAGAGATATATCATTTTTATAAATTAAGGAAGCAACTGTAAAAGAACATCTCCAAAAGTCCTTCTGGACTACGTCCTATAAAAGCCCTTCTGGAAGTCCTTCCATGAGTAGCGAAAGAAGCCCTTCAATTTGTGCCACTTCATAGAAAAAGGAAAGGAATGTAGAGTGGAAGACATCTTGACTCTCGGGCTTTTAACTCCTGAAATTATCTACTGGGTGTGCTCGTTTGGAATAGTAGTTTATGTCGGAAAGTTGGCTTTAGTGTAATGCGGCATTCCCTTTATTCTTTAAACGACAAGGAATTTTTTGACGAGACTTAATAAGAATATTGATTTGCTACTATCGGAACTATTTTTTGCACGTTTATTTGCGAAAAGTTCTTCAACGGCTTGGCGCCAGTGAGTCATTCGCAATTATGCAGCGAATGCCGCTTTATACTAAAGCCAGCCTTTCAACATAAGCTACTATTCTATACGACTACAGAAATATTTGATGCCATTAGGTTTGTTTGATATGAAAATAAAGCAAGTTATATTAAAAAAAAAAAAATACTCCTATATACATAATTTAAGTGCCTTACATTTGCTTTCCAGAGAAGATGAGTCGCTGCTGTTGTGGTGGTATACCTTCCTTTTCCTCTACTCGTTCCTTGATTCTGTCCACTTTGTCTGTAGGCTCAATGTCGATTTCGATTTCCTTACCGGTTAATGTCTAGCATAATAATAGATGAAAATTAATTATATGTATGTAAGTCAAGATGTCCATAAGCAGCCTGCGGAATTGAAGCCCCGCATTGCATCAACAATGATTCGCGAATTCATCCAGAAAATTCAATCATTGCCTACTCACCTTCACTTTAATCAACATGTTGCGTGCGAATGTGTAGGAAAATTGTTGAAATTGCTGCAGTAAATATTATTCGAAATGGTTTTATTTTATGCTTTTCACACCGTTTTTGCGTATAGTTTTTATTTTTGCACACAATTTACCGCAACCGCTTTTCCAAAAGTTTAATGTGAAAAGCCAAAATGACGTTTAGTAGCTCGAGTTCCTTGACACTCGCTTATCAGAAAAACGGTAATGAATAATTTTAATACAGGGTGGTAGGTGTGAAAAATGTGTGATTGACGGAAGGCAACGTTAAATGTGCTTCTGTGTTAAATTGCATTAGCGGCTAAATTTATCAAGTTATATACTGAATAAAGTTAATTTACCATGCAATTATTTAATTAATTTACCATGCAATTATTTAATTAATTTTATTAAAACCACCCCAACTGACGTCTTCTCTGTATAATTTCTTCCTGCTTCACAATAATAGCCGCGCACATAATTAGTTCCTCCATGATTAATGCACTGGATACTATGTATTTTTATATGCAAACGCAAAAACTTACTTTTTAACACACCCATTTAGGCAAATAAAATGATTTCAAAGTTTTTATTTAATAAAAGTGTAACTTTTTCTGCAAAATTAATGAAATTGAAAATATTAAGACATGCTTTAGCGTTGCCATAGGTAATCACAAAAATAAACAACCGTAGGAAGAGGGAGAAAAACGTGGTAGCACTCAACTTGCCGGAGTCCACGAAAACTGATAGCGTCGAAAGGCTTAGAGATGACCGTGAGCAGTTAGCTGCTGCCCTTCCACAGGAATTGACCGAAACTCTGTCAACACTGAAACTTCGTAGGCTCGGCCGTCCGGCAGGTAGTAGACCCCGACCGCTGCTAATAGAAACACCCTCTGAGGCGGTTGCTAAATCATTATGGAGAGCAAATTCCAATATGTCTAATATTAAATTCAAACCTGACCTAACACTAGCTCAACGAGATCATCTAACTGCGTTACGCAACGAGCTCAGTGTATCAGACCAGAAGGACAGTAAGACGATTAAATACATTGATGGCATCCCAAGGTTGGTGGACAAACCGAAGCCGCACACGCGCAAGCGAGCAGACAGAGCGCCAAAAAACTAATAATTTACTATCAGAATACAAGGGGGTTGCGGACAAAGCTTAAGGATTTCTTAACCTCCACCGCAAGCCTCGAAGCAGATGTTATATGTGTCAGCGAATCGTGGTTGCACTCGTCTATCTCGGACGGCGAAGTTATCGATGGTACATATGCTATTTTTAGAAAGGATAGGGATCAACTAACAAGCAGCTACGACCGTGGTGGAGGTGTATTCATAGCAGTCAGGAGGGGTATCCGTGCTGAACTGGTGGCAACAGTCCACGATCACATAGAGCAAGTGCTAGTAAAAATTAGGGGTCTAAAATGTGACCTAATCATAGGATGTGTATATATCCCACCTTATTCACAACCGGAGACGTACAAAGCCCACTTGGAAACAGTGTCTTATATCAATGCAACGAACGCGAATTGTAAACTACTAATCATTGGCGATTATAACTTTCCTAGTAGCTCGAGCCCTGAAAATTGTGAAATTCTCACCCACACAGAATATATTCTTAGTGGATGTCAACAAGCCAACAAAGTGCCAAATTTCAAAGGCCAGTCATTGGATCTTTGTTTCAGCAACATCGAAGTAACGGTTGAAAGAACTGATCCTGTTGTCACTGAGGACGGATACCACCCTGCCTTGAGTGTGAACGTTCATTTCCAATCAAATCTGAATGTGACCACCCCCAAAACATATTTATTTAAACAAGCTGACTATCCGGGACTCAATCATTTCTTCTCAAACATAAACTGGATAGACCTTTACAAGCTTGATACGATCGATGAAAAAGTTAACCTATTTTATACACTAGTCTTTGAAGGTATCGCGCGGTTTGTTCCAGTAGTTCGCAGGAGAAACAATGAATTCCCTATCTGGTTTACTAAGCAATTGATAACAAAAATTAAACTTAAAAAGGCTGCTCACGCTTTTTATAAGAAGAATAACTCAAGCGTTAGTTATAGCAGGTTTCGTGCTCTACGGCTCGAGTGTAAAACCATCAGTGCAGCCTGTTATAAGGAATACGTCGCTAGGGTGGAAAGCAGTATCAACACAGATGCAAACAAGTTCTGGAGCTATATTAAAAATAAACGGCGAAATTGCATTGATATTCCAACAACTGTAACATGGGAAAGTACGTCAGCAAGTAATGAAGAAGTAAGTAACCTATTTGCTTCGTATTTCAAAAGTATATATACCCACCGTCCATGGCCGGGTAATATTGGCATAGACACATCACATCTGACAGGAAGTGACGCTGATTTAAACAACTTTGACACCTGCTATAACGATGTCTTTACACAGCTCTTAAAACTAAATGCTCGAAAAGGGGCAGGCCCAGATGGGTTGCCAAACGTGTTTTTGAAAAACTGTGCTTTTAGCCTTTGCGAACCAATATGTCACATCTTCAGCAAATCCCTTCAAACAGGGATCTTCCCCTCTGCCTGGAAGGTAGCTTATATTAGCCCTATTCATAAGTCCGGCCCGAGATCAAATGTCTGTAATTATCGACCAATATGCATTCAGTCATCGCTGGCTAAGCTACTGGAGAAAATGGTACTACCCCGTATGACCTTTGCTTTCAAAAACATTATAACTACCAGGCAACACGGATTCATTGGTGGCAGGTCAACGGCCACTAACCTGTATCAGTATATTAATTACGCTTTGGACGCAATGGGCGACAGCAAAGATGTCCATGCAATTTATACGGATTTCAGCAAGGCTTTTGACATGGTGGACCATGGCATACTAATCCAGAAACTTGGCTCTTATGGAGTAAAAGGGAACGCTTTGGAATGGTTTCGATCCTACCTGTGTAATAGGCATCTGCAAGTCAGAGTTAATTGCCACATATCGAGCAGTTTTGTTACAACATCAGGGGTGCCACAAGGGTCACACTTGGGCCCAATTCTGTTTAATATCTTTGTGAATGACATAGGTAACCAATTTAAATCGGAACACCTACTGTATGCTGACGACCTAAAAATTTTTAATCAAATAACTAGTACAGATGACATGAGTAAATTACAGAATGATATCAATAGCCTAAGTGTCTGGTGCACATCAAATAAGCTTAGTCTAAACATAAGTAAATGTGTTGTCATGTCATTTTCACGTTCGCATAAGCCACACCCACCCGTATACTGGTTGAACGGCCAAAAGCTGCAGGTGGTCACCACTATCAAGGACCTTGGAGTAACGGTTGACAACGAGTTGAACTTTGCTAATCACATTAACGACATATCGCTACGTGCACATAGAGTGTTGGGCCTCATTATTAGGTCTGGCAGAGATTTCCGCGACCCATACACACTCATACGCCTGTTTGATGCATTGGTTAAACCTATACTCGTATATTGCAATATTGTCTGGGCGCCTTCCTCTGACCAGCTTGTAAACCGACTGGAATCTACTCAGCGTAAGTTCTGTAAATACTTATCCTGGTTTTCAAACTCAGTGGCAGCAGAGATGAGCACGGATGATGTCTATAACTACTTCAAAATTAACAGCCTGTCGTGTGGAAGGCAGGCTTGTGACCTGCTTTTCTTTTATAAACTTGTTAACGGCATCGTTATCTCACCTGAGATTTTAGCTCAATTTTCTCTCATTTGTCCAAGAGCAGGCCTCCGACATAATCGACTACTTGAAATTAAAAAGACCACAAAGAACTACGTGTGGAATGGACCCAGAAGCAGAATCGCTAGATTAGTCAACGAACACAGCTCAACATTGAACTTTTTCGGTGGATCTTACAACCAGTTCACGAAAAATGTAAAGGATCAACTCTATAATCATCGATAACCCCACTTTAAAAATAGCAGATATAACGAATCCTGCTTGAATTCATATTTTAAAAGTCCGAAACATATTGTTCTTATCTGTTTTATTCTTTTATACTTTTCATGTGTGATTGTTTTTAAGCGTAAAGCCGTTTGGCGTTAAGCGTTAAGCATAAATAAATAAATAAAAAATAAATAATAACAATAGTCACCGTTAGATTTCAAATTGCTCTCTTCATATCTAAAGTCCAGTATGCAGCTCTCAAGAAAGAACTTTGACCCCATAATAAGTCTGATAAACAAAAAACAAAAAAAAAACGGACCTCCAAGCATTTAGGAAAAGTATTCGGTTCACAAAGTTGTAGAATTACCTGACGGCACAGCGGGCACAATTGTAGGCTCTGGTCAAATTGAGTAGGTAATAAGGCCATTGTTCGGGAGTTCAAGCTTTTTTCTCTTCGCGACAAATCTAACCCTAACTTACACGCCTAGGTAATTGTCGAATAGGTATCAATCGCTCATACCCCTATTGCTCTCTAGAAGGCAGACTGATTATGTAAATATTTTTTGTATAGTTTCATCTCTGGCTCATAGCCGACAATAAAGTCCAATAGCAAACCGAAATTGCTAAGAAATTTTCCTGAAATAGTTAAATTTGTCAGAAATTCCCTTCATCGTAGGTGATTCATCAGGTATAAATTAGTCTAAAGACTAAAGTACGCAAAGTTTTAGATCAATCAAAATATATTTAGAGGTAGCTCAAAGCACTCAAAGTTTTCCATGTTTTTATATGGGGAAAAAACTATTTTTCGTAGAAATGGTACAGAATCGTTGAAAAGCAATATTTTTCAAACGGCAAACTCCGTTTCTCTTCATGAGATTTCAAAAAATATTACTCAATTGGTTATTTAAAATTTCTTTAATATTAACGATTTTTTATGGCTTCGCCCATTGCATTTTTTCGGGGTTCGGGGACCCATAGAAAATAGTTAATATTAATAAATTATTAAATAAACGATTGAGTGTTTTTTCTGAAAGTCTCCTAAAGAGAAAAAGAGATTGTCGATTGAAATATATTGATTTTCTACCATTACTGCGAAAAATAGTTTTTTATCCATATGAAATACATGGAAATTTTGAGCGCTTTGAGCCACCTCTATATCTTTTTTGATTGACCTAAAACTTTGTACAGTTTAGTCTATAGGCTGTTCACACATTTATAGGGGATGATACTGAGAACCTAAGCTCTTTTCGAAATATGGGCCACCCTAATGTACATATACACAAATAGGTTAGGTTATATTGTCGACCCCGAATTAGTGTCAAATTTGTCCTGAAGTATTAGGTCCCATTCCTTATCTTTTCTGAATAAAATCTTAAAAGTGTCAAAATGCAAAGGCGTATGCAAAATTCGCCAAAGAGCAACAGCAAAACAAACAACAAGTAATTTCTAGCAAAAAAAACCGACTTCAATTCTCATCTAAAAAAAACATGATTTAATGATCGGATCCAAACCAGATTAGTATGGGACCACCTCTGAGACATTACCTTTCCGATGCAAATTTTCGAAATCGGTTAACGTGGTCCAAAGTTATGAGGTAATAAACATAAAAAAAATATTCCGACGAACTGATAACCTCCTCCTTTTTTGGAAGTCTGTTAAAAATAGAAATGTATATACAAATCACATTCACACAAGAACAAGTACAATAAACACTTACAATATATTAATTATTTTTCGCCTCCTTTCGTTTTTATTCCACTTTTTTAGTTTTTAGAATATTCTCACTTATCGTGCATTCTTTCATTTCCGTTAATTTAAAATCAGTTGAGTTTGATGCTTTCAAGATTTTCCCAGCAAAAATTCTTTCTCATTTCTGCTATCATTTTCAAGTTAGGAAACGCTTTTTGACTAAATCTGACTACTTAGGACTATTTCTGGGAGATAAAAAAAGTTCTGAACTAAAACAAAAGGTTCATTTGTACACACAAAAAACAGTTACAAATTTTCTGCTGAAGATGTATACACATCAAAATTTGAATTAAAATTAATTAAAAGAGTATATTTAAATGCTATTTGATTTTATAGTTTTATTAAAAAATAGTAAAAGTCTCATTTATCATATGTATATGTAAATATGTAATTGTAATTATCTACGCACTTAACCTAAAACTATTTAGTATTCTGAGATAACACTTCTTGCGGATGCTCTAAATTATTCTCCGCAATTTATTCTGTGCTGCGACATTTTCTGAAATTAGACGAACATCCCGGGCATATGTGCGACAGCAGCCACCAATAATTTTCGCGCCCAATTTCGACCATTCGGGCACATAACTCGCCAACGGCACACAGTGTTCGCGGCCCAGCCAACCCTTGGCAACATCATAGACCTCACCGCTATTGGGGTACACAACCAGTGGAATCTTTTCCGCATCTGGTGTATTGCCATTTAAACTTTTTAATAGTGGTGTTACAAACTGAAATATTCACAAAAAATATTCAAATATATTCACTTAAGACATGCTTTAACATCACACCTTCGGATGTACACAATTGACACCTATTGCCAAGCATCTTTCCTGGGCATCCCGCTCCTTCAGCAATTCCCATAGCGAGCGCGCCACATCAACGAAATTCTCACCATGCGCTAAAGTACTTTCATCTTGACACTGGTATGAAACCCAAAATTTCACACCTGGGTAATCATCACACAACATTTCTACCAATGCTTCAGCTTCAGCCTGACAGGGTATTGTTTCAATGGCCAAAGCATCTACGCCCGCCGCTAGGCATGCATCAATGCGTACGCGATGCCAGTCGGTGATCTCTTTTATCGGTACATGATCTACATATTCGCCAGTGTACTCCGAACCGTCATGCAGATGCGCGCCAAATGGACCAATTGACGCGATAATCATAGGCAAACCTGAGGAAATAACCAAAAAAACAAAAAGAAAAGAACAGGGTGAACATTTTTTAAGAAGCAATTTTGTTTCCGCTTGACGTCCGTGTTTCCGTTTCGTTTCACATGAGATTTTCTTTTTTAACGACAACTTTAAATAACGCGAGTGAAATAAAAAATATTGAATAGCATAATTATTGTGTTAATTTTTTGCTAAGCTTACCTACTGGTACGTGCAAATTTGCCTCAGCACATTCCGCCAAATATTTATCTTTAGCAATATGCGCCAGACGTACGGATTTCTTTATCAATTCAATGCTCTGCTCCACATCCAAATCCAAATATTCGATATAGCCTTCCACACTAGTTTGATAGGTGTTTGTTAGTATGATATCAGCACCATCTAATAAATAAAATACACGTATGTATGTAAGTATTTGTTCACATGTACACACATATTTATTCAATTATGTTTAAAACAATTCTATAATAAGTTAATCTATTTACTAGTGGAAAATAACCATCGCTCTGTATGATTGCTTGATCCAGCCAATAGGTTCAATTCTATGCAAATATGTATGGCTATCAGCTTTTTCACATGTGTGAGTATGTTGTGTTTGTTTTTAAATTAACATACATATTTACTTACTTTGCAAAAAGTCCAAATGAGTATTGATAACAGCTGCCGGATTTGTGGCATTGAATCTTGCGCTCCATAATGGATCGCCATCGACCGCATTGCCAACGTGCACTGTCATTTGTGTACCGAAGCCACCATCTTTGGTTAGTATGCGTGTAAGACCCATGTTAGGCGATATTGAACTGTAAAGGAATACATTTCAATAAGTATGCAAGAATGTACGCACATAATTGAGAAAAAAAATATAACAATTATAAATAACTTAAATTTAAGAAAATAGAAAAACCAGTCAAGTTATTTGCGAGTATTAGCCGATAATTTGATACTTTTTTTTTTATTTATTAACCGACTTCCAAAAAAGGAGGGGGTTATCAGTTCGTCGGAATATTTTTTTATTTTTTTATGTATGTTACCGCATAACTTTGGACCACGTCAACCGATTTCGATAATTCTTTTTGCATCGGAAATGTAGTTTCTCAGAGGTGGTTCCATATTAATCTGGTTAAGATCCGATCAGTGGATCATGAGAGTTGAAGAGTTTAAGTCGGTTTTTTTTGCTAAAATTACTTGTTGCATGCCGTTTTTTAAAGACAAGTGCAAACTTAAAGCTATGTCAAGCGAGGTCTTCAGCTTACTGATATCAGTAACTTATGCTAATTATTTGATACTATTTCTTATCAACAGCTAACAAATGTGATTCGATGATACTAAATCAAGAAAAGCCTGTTTGCAGATAATCATTTTGTTTTAAACATTTCTCGCTTCTTCCAAAAACTTAATTTACTGCCAATTTAAATTTCTCTTTTAATTGCTGTATTATCAGTATCATTTATGTAAGTATTTTTGTTTTAATTCGTTATTATTTTGTTTAATGTGGACTATGACATCTGTTGCATTATCGGCAATCATATCATGTACTGTGCGCTCATTTGTGTTGCTAAGTCGCGACGTACAGTGTAACGAATGCGGCCAAAAATAGTAAAAATGTAGTTACGAATTCGGAATTAGCCAACCGACAGTAAATACTCGAGTATAAACAAGCGGAATATTTTTCAAAAATTTTGATGTGTACTATTTTTTGCTGTCATTCAAATAAAATATTTCAATTTTCAGTTGCAATTATAGGCAAATTAGATTATTCATGAAAATAAAAGAAATGTCTAAACCTAATACAATTTGTTTATTACAGTTTATTTTATTATCAAAATACGTGAGAACTTTTATATATAAACGTGCATTGTATATACATAGGTGGGTTACATGGCATGTGACATGACAGCGAACCAACATTAAAAATTTTCGTATATGTTTAAGATATCATCAAATCTTAAACTTTATTGCAATCGGATAAAATTTTGGGTATGAAACCGATGATTTTAGTTTCCAATTCTATGGGAGATAGGCGTGTCCTTGATCCGCTTTTGTTCAAATTTCAAATTTTTCTTAATATATACCTAACTAAAAATCCACTGTGTAAAATTTCATTGATCTGCGACAACTACTTCAACTTTTGGCCACTCAGTATATAGGGAGGTTAGTTACACTGTGCGATGCGTCCACGTCATTATCATAGTAAGTGTTTTTCTCATTAGGTGGCTTCATCTAAAGTGATAAAGGGATAAATTGCTTAAATTTATCAGTTTATCCGCATTCTTTCATGAATGTACCTTGGTAAATAATTGCACAAAATTGTTTATGATTTATCTGGCTAGTTACGTTTCATTCTTATCTCGTCCATTGTGTAAATTTGCTTTTTATGTATAGACCCCTATTGTAGTAAAAAAAAAAATGTTTCTATATGCCAAAAAGAACGCATGTGCAAATACATACATATGTGTGTATGTATGTGGCTACTTTGTCTGAATATACTTGGTAATCCATATATATATAGTATATTCATCTACAAAAGTATCTATTTATATTTTATTTAGTATTATTCTTTGTTGTTTTTTTTATTTTTTATTCGCAATCAAGACGATAAGTGCAATGAACTGATGAACTCTTCTTGATTATTGTGAAGAGTATTCACATGTTTATATATAAATATGTATAGCATAGTTAAGTACCAGCTTTGTTTTCATACACACACATATGTTTTAGTATACAGTAGACATGCTTATCGATACTTGATGTTGGTTACTGTTGCCAGGTTCAACATAAGTGAATGCTTGCATAATTTTTTCTTTGGTAAAATGTTTATGGCTTGAGACGCACCAACTAAAAACAGCAACCATTAAAAATACCAAACAAGTCTGGGATAGTGACATCCTCCTGACACACATTGATGACCCCCGCACAAGGAAACAAGGACCATGCTTTACCGATATAACGGGTGATTTTTTTGAGGTTAGGATTTTCATGCATTAGTATTTGACAGATCACGTGGGATTTCAGACATGGTGTCAAAGAGAAAGATGCTCAGTATGCTTTGACATTTCATCATGAATAGACTTACTAACGAGCAACGCTTGCAAATCATTGAATTTTATTACCAAAATCAGTGTTCGGTTCGAAATGTGTTTCGCACACCCAATTGCTGCGAACGGCGACGAATCGACATTTCACGGTCTTCAGCAACACTCTCAGAAACAGACGCAATATTCTCTTCTGTACGCACTGTACGCATTCGTGTGGTTGGTTTAATGTCCAATAAAGTAAACTGAGTGCGAAACTTGGTCACAATCGCATTAATTGTTTGCTCACTTGGTCGATTATGTAGACCATAAATCGGACGTAAAGCGAACCGAACACTGATTTTGGTAATAAAATTCAATGATTTGCAAGCGTTGCTCGTTAGTAAGTCTATTCATGATGAAATGTCAAAGCATACTGAGCATCTTTCTCTTTGACACCATGTCTGAAATCCCACGTGATCTGTCAAATACTAATGCATGAAAATCCTAACCTCAAAAAAATCACCCGTTACATACATAAACCTGTAACGTTAGGACTCCCTAAAGGGAAGGTGCCCCTAACGGTCGATTATACTACTATTTTGCGAGATTGTTTAATTTTTAATTAAAATTGGAGCAATTTCCGATCATACTTTTTTTCTTTCGTTATATTTACCAACATAATTATCTGCGGCTTGCATCGCCTAGTGTGGGAGTACTTAGTTAGAAGACTGGACAATGACTTGCGCGCATTTGGTCCATTTATTTTCCATTATGACAACCCTGTCCTTGAGGACTACAAATAATACGGCTTAGAATCCCGAAATCGGCGTACTATCCTTGGACATTGAGAAACACTCCAATCGAAACCAACTTCTTTTATACCTTTATGTGACCTTAAATTAAGTTAAACAAAATTCTAATAACATTTGGGACATAAGTACTTCCCAACATTTTTTTTTTTACCAGTTTGCAAATGTCTCCATCTATTTTTATTTCTCGTATGACAAAATATTAAAAAAATAATTGAAAAAGTTCAAATTTTTTAAAAGATTTTTCTAGATTTGCATAGCGACTAAATGGCCCCTTATTCAGTAAAAAAAGATATTAGTAAACTTACGCTCTGGCCGTGACGTTGCGAAAAACAGAAGTAGATTTTGACCTCGATTATAAAATTGCAAAACTCTGCGAATTGGGCAAGACTATTTTTATAAAAGTTTTTGAAGTAATATTGGAAGTAATTTAGTATTTTGCCGGCTCGAGGTCAATTTTTAAAAAAATGTTAATGAAAACACAAGTTTTTTTATTGTTTCTTTCCGATATATTTCGATTACGCTTCGGTAACCGTCCTCAGGGCAAATTAATTTTAATAATAATGAATAATTAATATTATACTGATGGTTTTAGCGACCTTTCTACTTATAATTTAGTATTTTGCCGGCTTGAGGTCAATTTAAAAAAAAAGATGTTAATGAAAACACAAGTTTTTTGATGTTTCTTTCCGATATATTTCGATTACGCTTCGGTAACACGTCAAACAGTGCGGACGTGTAAAAATCTGATCTAAAAAATGGTGTACAGAAAATTAAGTTTACGTGTCTCGGCTTTTTTTTGTGTCCCAAAAGTGTTATTGTTCTCGGAACAAATAAATACCGAGGAGCTCCAAGTGAAAGACGCTTTAGTTTGGGAATATGAATTGGATAATAACTTGCTCGAATTTTCCAAACAAAGAAATAAGTTGGACGCGAAAATACTGTGGACAGCGTAACCGTAGTTGGACTGATGAAGGTTTTTTTTTTTTGGAAGCAAAGCCTTCCGACTCGAAAAGAATTTGGACTCAATAATATTGTGGACTACGTTCATATAGGGTTTCTATTCTCGGGCGGGCCAGAACGACAAAAGGTTATAGTGTCAAATAAGAAGAAGAAAAAGATATTTAAAAGTACGTTAAAAAAAAAATCACTTCATTAGTTTTTTTTGAATCATAAACCATTGCTTAACCAAAATAAAAAGAGGTATATTTTCTTCGGGGATCGCGGCATTGAAATTCCGACTTTACTGTTTTTGGACCATTAGGTACATTCTATGTAACGAGATACATTACATACATATTACCATTGTAATGAACATTGCCACACCCCCCTCTTAATATACATATGTATTTATGCATAAATGTATTATCTTTTGATTCTTATTTAGTAACAAATTTGTGATTAACATCTGTTGTTTTCGACCCCATAAATCGCGCCTGTGAATGACGCCAGTAGCCAGTAGGTGGTTGCTAACAGTCTCTCAAGCGATAAATAAATTTTTGAATGAGAAAAACATGAGTTAGGTTGGAGAGTAGGTCTGCTCTGATTCGTTTTGATGAAATATGGCTTACAAAAATGTTATTAGGATTAATTAAATGTATGCAGATAACGGATAATCGATTGATTTATGCATGTTGTGATAGAAATGTATGTATGTATGTATGTGATATAAACCGGCGGTTGACAGAGGCTCACCACGTGAACATGTTTTTGAGTATCAGAAGAAGAAGAACTTTAGTTAATCCTAATTAAAGATTCTAGTAGCTTTGTAGCTAAATA